CATCCATCTGTCACCCATCCACTCACTCACCCACCCAGCCAATCATCCATTCAACCATCCACCCATCATCCATCCGCTTGGCCAACTATTTACACCCACGCATCTAGCTATCCATCAAATCATCATCCATCCACTCACTCACCCATCCACCCAGCCAACTGTCTACCCCCCCATCCATCCATCCACTCACGCACCCCCTCGGCCAGCCCTCCGTCCAGCCTCCAGCCACTTAACCCCCCACCTGACCAACCATTTTTCACTCATCACCCACCCACTTATCCATCACCATCCACACAGCCACCTGCCCATCACCCATCTATCCATCGATCTGCGCACCATCCGTCCGCCATCCCTTCACCTCCTTTCCTTCTGTAGAGGAGGACGTTATTTTCCCTCTTACCCTGCTAGCTTCTGTAGCTAAGGGAAAGGGATGGCAGCTAAAGGTAGCTGGAAAGTTTGTCACGCAGCTTCCTCTAGCACTGACCTGGACTGATCAGCCTCGAATGCCATCTCCGGTGATGAACTTTTGTCTTTCCTGGTGGGAAGGGGGCCACCTTTGGAACTGTGTGTCCTGCTCTGAGGCAGACATGGGGGAGGGCAGGAACTTTCGTACTTGCTTCTTCTCAATTGCCTCCGGCTCAGAACAACCCTGATGTCAAGTTCACGTTTTGGGGCGGCATCCTCCGTTACCTATGCTCCCACCCCTCCTTCCTTGATCTACCATGAAGGTTTCCCACAGAGAAAGAAAGACGTAGAAGGATACAGCAACCATCTACGCCCCCAGCTTTGCCCAAGCCTGACATTTTGTCGTGTTTGCTGGAACTGTTTTAAGGAAATAAATGGTGCGAGTAGCCTGGCAAGTGCCACCAACCCCTTCCTTCCTCCGACAGAGAACCTTTCTCCTGAGTCCAGCTCCTGCGCTGTTCCAGCGGATGATGATAGCCATATGCAGTCTGTAGGACTTTGCTGAGTCTTCCTGACCTTTCTCTGGAAGTGCTAGCACATTGCATGACTCCTGCAAATCACCTTCTCTTTGCTGGGTCGTATATTTTGGGGGCACATTGTATGCACCCTGGGTTCATTCATTCTCACGGCAGCGAGGTCTGTGGGAGAAGAGATCACAGCTTGACCAAGCAGTCTTTAAGTGATTGGGGTGGCTGTACATCCCCATTTGCTTGGGACAATGCTGTACGTTGCACAGGGGCCACCCTTGTACGCCTTTCCATGGCACGTGGCCTTGTCCTGACTTACAGAATTCATGCAGAGGTGGAGTTGCTGGCTCAGCAGGACGCGCCCTCCACCAGGTCCCTGGCACCCCTGCCAACTTCTAGCCAACCCTTTCTGCACCCCTGCCCCACAGAGATGGGGAGTGTCACAGATACGGTCACCACACGTAGGTGGCCTGCTCCCAGAGTTCTGTCTGTGTCCCTCTTTCAACCCACTCAAAGCCCTGGTCTCAGGTAGCCATTGGCAACCTGAGCTGGGTCTTTCCTGGGTAACTTTCATTGCACTTGACCTGGAGGAAGCAGCCCTCTAGCTGCCTCTGCCTCTCAGGGGCCCCTGGGTCTCCCGGCCTCAGTCGGCTCACGACTCTGGGTTCCCCTCCGCTCCCAGCTCTTGAGATCTTTCCGGTTCTGAGCCTGGCCCTGCCTTTGGGTTCTGTTTTTACAGGGTGCCTGTCACTGCTCTGTGTTTGAAGCCCATGGCGTTGTGACAGCACGAACCCGTCACCGTCCTGACCCGACACCTGCCTTCCTGTCTCTCCTGGGGCTCCATCCTCAAAGAAAAACAAAAGGCAGCTTTTCCCTCTTATCCGGGGAGGCTTCAAACGCCCTTGTGGGGCTTCAGCTGATTCTTGTAGACTGTGGTCATCCCCGGTTAGTTTGAGCACCTTTTTTGTGCCGGGGTTTCATGGTGCCGGGGCCGGAGTGCAAAGGACCAGGGCCTCCCTGTCCCAGCTGCCACCACTGCCTCTGGCTCCTGCCCTGGGGAGGAGTGGACAGTGGCAACTTGCCTCCGGGGTTCTGAGCGTGTGCAGACAGACATGGGCCATCGGCTGGGGTCACACCACAAACACGGCCTGTGGGACTGAGCCCGTGCGTGCCAGTGCCCGTCTGTCCCCTGCCCCTGGGTCTTCTGTCATTTTCACGCTTCCCTTTGTCTTCCTGCCACCCGCAGACACAGGCAGCCATGCGGCGCAGCCCGACGTCCAGCGAGGACGAGATGGCCCAGAGCTTCTCCGATTATTCCATGGGGTCAGAGTCGGACAGCTCCAAAGAAGAGACCATCTACGACACGATCCGGGCCACCGCGGAGAAGCCGGGTGGCGCCAGGACGGAGGAGAGCCAGGGCAACACGCTGGTCATCCGCATCGTCATCCAGGACCTGCAGCAGACGGTGAGCCCTGCGGCCGGCACCCCGCCCCCTCCTCTGCCCTGTTGGTCACGAACATTGAGCACCTGCTACATGCCAGCTCAGGGGGCATGGTGGCTCACGCTTGTCATCCCAGTTCTGTGGGAGGCCAGGGCAGGAGAATCACGTGAGGCCAGGAGTTCGAGACCAGCCTGGACAACATAGTGAGACCTCGTCTCTACAAAAAGTCAGAAATAGCTGAGTGGGGTGGCTTACACCTGTGATCTGAGCTACTCGGAGGCTGAGGCCAGGAGGATTGCTTGAGCCCAGGAGTTCAAGACCAGCCTTGGCAACTTAGTGAGACTCTGTCTCTAATTTTTTTTTTTAATTAGCCAGGTGTGGTGGTACCTGGAGTCCCAGTTACTTGGGAGGCTGAGGTGGGAGGATTACTTGAGCCCAGGATTTTGAGACTGTGGCGAACCATGATTGCACCATTGCCTGGGTGACAGAGCAAGACTCTGCCTTTAGAAGTAAATAAATAAAAATTGTCATGATTGGGCCCACCCTCCAGAATCCATGAATACTGGGGTTTGAATGGGTTTTGAAAATACTGACTTGTTCCTTTGGGCTTGAACGCGCTTTTCCTTTGTACAATATTTTTAAGTCGCAGTTTCCTCCCTGGTCTTTGGAATGTTGTTCAGTTGTCATCTTACCCTGAATGTTACTTTTTTTTTGAGTGAATCTCCCTCTGTCACCCAGGCTAGAGTGCAGTGTCATGCTCATGGCCACCGCAGCCACGACCTACTGGGCTCAGATGATCTTCCTGCCTCAGCCTTCCCAGTAGGTGGGACTACAGGCGTGTGCCACCACACCCAGCTAATTTTTTTGATTTATTGTAGAGTTGAGGTCTCATCAAGTTGCCCAGGCTGGTCTCGAACCCCTGGACTCAGGCCATCCTCTCACCTCAGCCTCCCAAAATGTTGGAATGCCAGGCATGAGCCATGGCACCCGGCCTGAATGTGATTTTGAATACCTGTGAGGGTCACCTGATGTATGTTTTCTTTTCTTTTTTTTTTTTTTGAGTTGGAGTCTCATTCTGTCACCCAGACTGGAGTACAGTGGCCGCTCCCGGCCACCGCAGCCTCGACCTGCTGGGCTCTGGAGATCCTTCCACCTCAGCCTTCCAAGTATCCGGAACTACAGGCGCGCCCTACCACGCCCGGCTAATTTTTGATTTATTGTAGAGATGAGGTCTTGCCAAGTTGCCCAGGTGGGTCTCAAACCCGCGGGCTCAGGCCATCCACTCACCTCAGCCTCCCAAAGTGCGGGATGACAGGCTGAGCCACTGAGCCCGGCTTGATGATGTGTGTTTTCTGTCTTGTGTGTGACTTTTTTTTTTAAATTGGATTCCTAAAGAATTGGTTTCCGTGGCTAGACTAGCAACGTTTGGTGTTGGCCAGGCTTGTATTTTCCCGGCTGAACTTCCTAACCGCAGCCTCCGTGTGTCCTTCTGTGTTAGTGGTTGGGTCGTCTGTTGCGAGACGGTCATTCTTCTTCAGTTTCCCGTCCCTGGAGCTGTGACCTTTTCCCTAATTGCTTTCATCCCCTGCCTTCCTTCTTGTTTGCTGTGCCATGCCTGCAGTGGATGCCATCCTGTTCCTTGCGCTTTCTCATGTATGACGGGCGTGTTGTTTTGACCCTCCGTCTGTTTCCATAGCCCCACGTGGGCTTCCTTGTTGAAACTCATTCCTCGGGTTGCGTGTTTGTTTGGTAGGTTTTTCTGCCTGATTATTTCCTCCCTGGCGCAAAGTGTTCTGGGAGACGCCTTTTCTTTTAATCATGGTGCGTGTTTACCCGGATCCAAGACGCAGCGTCTGCTGTCTGTGTGCCGCCTCGCGACCTGTTAGCCGCGTGTTTTTCTGAGCCCCATCTTCGTTAGCTCCGGCCGGGGTTCCCCCCTCGTCTCCTTCCAGCTGGGTGTCAGCCTCTGGGTCTTTTCCGTTTGTTCTTGTGGTGCGGAGTGAACCCTCGACTCCCTCGTTAAGTTAGATTTGATGGTCTGTTTACCTTTCCAAAGGATCAGGCCCGGCGATGAGTCTGAATGTGGAAGGCCTGGGCGTCCTTCCTCTCCTGAGATGCTCCTAAATGCATGGGGGTCCTCTCCCTGGCGAGGGGAGGCGTGCCTCATCCTTTGGCAGGGGCACCCCACCCTCGGGCTGTATTCCGCTCAGCCAGGATCCTTGTCAGGAGCGCTCCTGGACAGCCAGCCAGCCCCGTCCACCTCCCATGGTCCTGCCCCACCCCCCCACCCCTGTTCCCGCCAAGTTCCAGGAGGAAGAGAGAAGGACCCCGTGTGGTCACTCGTGCAGGTGGGAAGTTTTCCATCTTCTCAAGGGTACTGCTTCCTGGAATGAGGGTGATGTTGGGCACTTTCCCACTGGGGCTATTCCTCCCTGGGCTGTCTGAGAGGGGAGAGGCCCATCTGGCTGAGGCCGTTGTGATGCCGACATGAGTCCTCCAGGAATGGGAGTAGCTTGGTCATCTGGCGCCCAGAACTAATCTGGCCACGCTGCGGGCCTCAGGGGCCATCCCCCTGCCACAGAGAGGCTCTTCCTGGCATCGGGCTGTGGCCTTTGCCTCCTTTGTGTACTTTGTGGGTGGCTTTTATATTTTGGGTCCCTGGGCCTGACCTTCCTGGCCCCTGGGTGCTGCATGTCCCATCAACCCTCCAATGGCGGAGACCCTGTGACCTCTGCCGGTTCGATCCATCCTCACGCTGCAGGGTTTTACCCATTCAGCTCTCTTTATTTGTTTATTATTTACTATTTTTTTTTTTTGAGTTGGAGTCTCACTCCGTCGCCCAGACCGGAGTGCAGTGGCCGCTCCCCGCCACCGCAGCCTCGACCTGCC